AGCAAACTGCTTAAAGGCCTTTGAGAAGGAGTTACGGGACACTTGAGTTGTTGAGCTGACAAGCTTTTAAGAAGATAAGACTTTTTGGGTAGGGTTGCCAGATTTAGCAAATAAAATAAAAATACAGCATACCCAGTTAAATTTTAATGGTAGATAAACAACAAAAATTTTTTCATATACATATGTCCCATGCAATATTTGGGGCATAATGTATACTAAAGAAATATTTATTGTTTAATCTGCCATCCAAATTTAACTAGGTGTCCTGTATTTTATCTGGCAACTCTACCCATTCCTACTCCTTGGGCAATACAAATGGCCCCCTTTAAAAGCACCTCTTCTATCATTTCTCCCATTTTTGTGCCTATCCTATGGCAGTAGAGGGAGATCTCAAGGGAAAATTCCTCCCATAGACTATTGGCTACTTATCAACTTGAGGAAAAAACAAGGCCCTTTCTTGGCTTGCTTATTTATTTATTTACTTACATTTTTTTTGAGACAGGGTCTCACTTGACTAGAGTGCAGTGGTGCAATCTCTGCTCATTGCGGCCTCAACCTCCTGGGCTCAACCAGTCCTCCTGCCTCAGCCTCCCAAGTAACCTGGACTCCACACGTGTCCCATCATGCCTGGCTAATTTTTAAAATTTTTTTGTAGAGATGGAGGTGTCTACAGTCTGGTCTTAAATTCCTGGGCTCAAGCAATCCTCCCACTTCCCAAAGTGCTAGGATTACAGGCATGTGCCACAGCACCTAGTCTGTTATTTTTTAATGTATTATGTTATTGCCACTTCATTATTCAATTTCACAAACCTAATATCAATGGAATGTTACTCCTTTTAAATGATAATCTTGGACACCCGGACCATTCCCTTTTATTTCTGCCTGCCAAATACCCCTGCTGGTTTCCCGGCTTGCCCCTGTTTTGTCCCATTATCCTTATTTAGTGAGATTATAAGTAATGTTCGCAAAAATCCAGTCAGAGGAGCTTTTCCTCAGATGCTGTTTCCCTTACTTTTAGTCTCCCTTCCCTGGTCTCTTTGCTTTTTACCCACCTGTTCTGCCCTGCCCAGGACCTGCTCTGCCCTGTCATCAAGAGGCAGAAATATTGCCTCAAAACCTGGTCTCTGAGACCCCGGCTAATGTGAACTAGATTCTCCTTTCACCTTCAATGTCATAACAGGCTCCATTTGCCTGTCAGTATAGTCTTCTATCTGTTTTAGCACTTTTCACAGCCAAGTCACTCCTCCTTTCTGCTTCCCAGCTTCTCAAAAAAAAAAAAAAAAAGCCTCCTATGTTCCTGCCTGGAAAGTTGCACATAGGATATTTGGTCCTTGCTGGCCAACACAGACTTGGTTTTCTTTGGCTCACAGACTGTGCCCCTTGTCCTGAACTTTATTCTTTCATCATAATTAGCCAGGAAGAGCTGTTTTCCTGTTGAAGCTGATGAATACTAAGGACTCTTCTTTCCTTCATTCCCAGGGGTCCCACTTCATTTTCTCCTGCTTTCCCAATATTTTCCCACCTGGCCATCATCTCTTGGTTCCTAGAAAACCAGAGGGAACAACAGTAAACTATGGCCCAGCAATAAATTCGAGATAACCATTTACTTGGATCAGCCTGCACAACGGAGACCATGTGGCTCACAAAGTTTAAAATATTTACCACCTGGCCCTTTGCGGAAAAAGGTTGCCACCCTCTGCTCTAGAACAGTGGCTCTCGACCCTCATTTCATATTGGAATTACTTGGAGAGCTTTTTTAAAATACTGATGCTCAGCCGGGTGTGGTGGCTCACGCCTGTAATCCCAGCACTTTGGGAGGCAGAGGCAGGTGGATCACGAGGTCAGGAGATTGAGACCATCCTGGCTAACACGGTGAAACCCTGTGTCTACTGAAAATACAAAAAATTACCTGGGGGTGGTGGTGGGCGCCTGTAGTCCCAGCTACTCGGGAGGCTGAGACAAGAGAATGGCGTGAACCCGGGAGGCGGAGCTTGCAGTGAATCAAGATGGTGTCACTGCACTCCAGCCTGGGCGACAGAGTGAGATTCCATCTCAAAAAAAAAAAACGATGCCTATATAATATCTGCACATCTGGGTAGAACCCAGGCATCTGCATTTTCTAAATGTTCCCCAGGTGATTCGGATGCACAGTGAGAGTGATTGTAAACACTCATTGGACATGAGAAAAGCAAAAACAAAACAAACAAACAAAACGCCTCGTGTCCCCTCTCCCTTCTTCCTCCTCCCCACACTCCCCATACAGGTGCGCGTGTGGGCTCGTGCACACACATGTGTAATTGCCCTCATGCACCTTGTCTATTCCCTCCCCTGGGGGGTGGAGAGCTCCAGCTCTGGAATCCTGCCTCACCAGCAAGACCCAGCCTGGTAAGAAATCAGGAACATCTGGGAGAGCTCATGTCCGCCTGTGGCCTGGAACTGAAACTTGGCTTTGCTGGAATTTCTCCTTTTTGACTCACTGAGCATTGCCAGCTTTCAACAGGGTCTGTTGGGAGCGTGTTCCCCAGAGCAGCTTGGAACTTCTTTCCTGCCCCTGCTTCCCTCCCCTCCCACAAGGCACTCCCACTCCAAAAATGGGGCCCAGCCTGCCCTCCCGCTGTTTGGCTGTTGTAACTCCCAGGTAGAGTTTTAACATGGCACAAGGTGACCCCACAAGAAGTGTAGTTTCTTGAAGCTTATGGCTTTTCTCTGAATATTTCTCATTTTTCTCCTGTGACCTTTGCAGCTTTCCCACCTCATGTCTTGCCATCTGGCTGCCTTGCCAGGCACTTCCCACGAGAGGGTACTAGGTAGTTTACAGGGAAAGGGAAGAAGGGAGATTAAATATCTGGGGCTTTCTAAGGGTTTTTTCAAAAATGTTAAATAAACTCCTGTTTTCACACAGCACACCGTTCCGGAAGGCGAAAGCCTTGTATGCCTGCAAAGCTGAACATGACTCAGAACTTTCGTTCACAGCAGGCACGGTCTTCGATAATGGTGAGTTTCTCATCCCCTCACAAAGATATGGGCGGGGGGCGGGGGCAAGGGGAGCACATAAATAACTGGCATTTTCAAAGCTCCTCCCTAGGGAAAATCTCAATACAATGGGTAAGAAAAAAAAGCGTGTGTGTGTGTGTGTGTGTGTGTGTGTGTGTGTGTGTGTGTGTGTGTTGGTTTCTGTGTCTTTTCCCAAAATAAAAGAGCAGCAGCAGGACTTCCGGAGACATTGTGAAGAGTGAACTAGTGTAATCAGCTCCGCGTTGAGTTGTTACCACTGTGAATAAGATTGTGCCTGCAAAAGACCCAGCCCAGGACCTGAAAGTGGCTTTAAGAGATCATACGCATCACATGTTTAAAATGGTACTCAACGCATATTAAGCATTCAATAAGTTAATATTTTTATTATTAAAACCATCGTCATCATTGTATCCATCTTCAAAAAAGGCCCTGATGCTCTCATAGTTCACAGTGACAATTTTTCCTCACTTTTGTCTGAGCAGTGGGTGCCGCACCTGACTCTGGGGTCCTGGCTGTATCTGTAAACACATTCCAGGCCAGAGCAGAGATGGGTTCCTGGGGACCAGCCCTTGACTGTACTCACGTCCACAGGGGCTGCCATTGTGTGTGCCCAGCCGCTGCATTCAGCATAGCAGAGATACCCATCAGGTACAGGTAGACAAAAGGGGGAACAAGGCACAGAGCATGGGGGTTTCCCAGGTCACACTCAACCCTTGGCCTTCTGGGTCAGCAGAAGGAGGAGGGATTACCCCAGAACTGCATGTGGGTGTCTGGGTCTGCATTCCCTTTTATCGCTCTCAAAGCCTCAAGCACTGTCCTTAAACCTTTGCTCCATTAACTTTCATCTGGGCCCTTTATAAATCAAAGTGCACAAACAGCCAGCCCAGCCACCTCTCCTGTTCATAGCTGGTGCTTGCAGGCCCCAGCAGACTGCAGGTGCAGTGCAGATGCAACAGGGCTGCTGAAGGCTGTCCAAAGCCATTTTACTGGTGAGTGTCCCCCACACAGGCCCAGGCGGCGGAGTCCTCGCCCTGCCGTAACACGACACGGCTCTTACAGAAGACAAACCAGAATGGGCTGCGTTGCTTGGGCTTCTGCTCCCTGCTTTGTCAGCAGGGAAGGGGCTTCTGCCTGAAGAAGAGCAGGATTTGAGAGATTCCTACACTGACAGGTGAATCCAGGGCTTAAAGGTCTGTCCTCTAAGTCCCAATTCACTGCTCACATGGGCAAGGGATCATCATGTTCCTATCAGCCATTCCCTCTGACAACACAAAGGACTCCTGATCTCAGGGGCAGAATTGTTTTAAACTAGCAAAAGTTATGTATATGCTTCTATCTTCTTTGTGATTCCTTTTGGTGAGTGCAGCCTTCTTCCATTTTTTAACGGTTTATTAAGATAACCGTACCACCTACAATTTACCCATTTAAAATGTACAATTCAATGGTTTTTAGTATATTCAGAGTTGTGCAACCATCACCACTATATAATTCCAGAATATTTTCATCACCCCCAAAAGAAACCCCATACCTTTTAGCAGTCATGCCCCGCTTACCACAACCCATTTCCATCCAGCCCAAGGCAACCACTCTTCTACTTTGTCTCTCTGTATTTGCCTGCTCTGGACATTTCATACAAATGGAATTATACAGCATGTGATCTTTGAAACTGGATTCTTCCGTTTGCATAATGTTCAAGTTCATCCACATTGTAGCGTGTCAGAACCGTATTCCTTTTAATGTGTGATGGTATGGACATAGCACAGTTCATGTAAGCTCATTCCTCAGTAGATGGGCACGTTGTTTCCACTTTTTGGCTGTTTGAACAATGCTGCTGTGAACATGTGTGTAGGTTTTTGTGAGGGCGCAGGTTTCCAGTTCTCTTGGGGATACACCTATGAGTGGGATTGCAGGGCCATATGAATTCTGTGTTTAAGCGTCTGAGGAAACGCCAAACTGTTACACGAAGAAGTTGCACCATTTTACCATTTTATGTTCCTACCTTCTTTCATTTTTAAGTCTTTCTGCGGTAGCTTAAACAGTTAAGCATAAAGGGGGGAAAAAAGAAGAGAAGAGAAGCCTGGGTGATTGTTAACTCCCAAGTCCTTTTTTCCCCCAGCAGAGTGTCCTTCAGCATCCACAGCCATCTTCACTGCCACACCGAAGCCCCGGGCGCCTCCACCTCTCACCTGGGCGCTTCCACTGGCCGCCCAACACATCTTCTCACTTCTGCTCTTGCTGCCATGACCCCCTCTTTACAGAGCAACGAGAGTGATCTTTGAAAAATGGAAATGACATTAAAGCCCTTCAGTGGCCTCCCATTGCTCTGAGAATTACTTACAAGGCCCTACAGGGCCCGGTCCCTGCCCCTCTGACCTCTCGCCCTCACTTGACATACTACAGCGTCATAGACCTTCTTCATGTTCTCAAGTAAGGTCAGCAAACTATGACCTGCCGGTCAAATCCAACCCGCCACCTGCCACCTAACAATTCTGTAAGTGCTCCCGCCTACAGCGTGGTAATCATCAGAAATCCTATAGGTATTGACAGATGAGAGCAGGAGGGAAGTTTGGTTGAATGAGTAAGAGGCCTTACCCAAGCCTTCCTGTGGGCTCTAGGAGTCATGGCAGAGTTTGCTGACACTGGTTTGTTTTTAACCAGCCTTGCCAGTGACCTTTCAAATTCCCTGAGGAGCAAAAGGCCAAATTAAACGTGAAAGAAAACACCTTTCAGTGTTGACTGAGTTGCAGTAGAAAATGGACCTGACGAAATGTTAGTACACTTTCTCAGTTGGGTTAACTGAAAATATGTTATTAGGTCTTCTTTCCAGAGGAAAATGCTTACGTAGACCCTCTCCCTCCCCACCCCGTCACCTCTACCGGAGAAAATGAGGCATTACAGAACACTGTTATTCTGCCTGGCGGGGGGCGGGGGGGGCGTCTTTTTCCTTGTTCCATTTCTTGTTAGTTTACCACTGGGGATATTAGGTAAAGGCTATTTAATTTGTATGCTGTGTAGCTGTCAGATTAAATCATCCAACCAATCAGAAGAAAGTGCACGTGTGTGTGTGTGTGTGTCTTTGTGTGTGTGTCAGGATTAAGAAGAATGAATAAGGAAGAGGAAAAGGGAGGGGCCCGTGGAGGGAAAGTCTGTTGTTTCGTAATGATTAATCTCAAAGCCTTTGGATTCCAGGGGCCCCTACTGTGACTCCGGAGTGGCTGCTGCTGTCAGCTCATGGACTTTGTGCAGTGGGAAATGGATGTGCAATACCTAGAAATAATTCCAGTGTCAGCTCTGGCCAATCTACTGGGAAACTGTCCATTTTAACAAGAGCACCTCAGACAGTAACTGGAAAGAGAAATAGCTCCTATTCTCAGGAACGTTAGTCATCTTGAAGCAACATGATTCGTGATACCTGGAAAATGCACATGGCAGTCACTAAAATTGGGTTCTAGGGATACTTTTAACAAGATCTGAGAGGAGATGGATCCATTCATTCCCATGGTACCTGACACAGCACTACTACACAACAGGCCTGTCCCAAGTTTCCTTTGCTGATGGAGAACAGCCTCACGGGGGAGCCCCCAAGCTGCCTAGGAAATGGGCTAACAGGAGAGCACTCAGGGATCTCCTTCAGCTTCTCCAGCCATCTTCGCTGCCACGCCCAAGCCCAGGCCACCTCCACCTCTCACCTGGGTGCTTCCACTGGCCGCCTGACACATCTTGTTGCTGGCTTCCACTCTTGCTCCCATAACCCCTTCTTCACATAGCAGCAAGAGTCATCTTTGAAAATGAAAATCACATCATGTTATTTCCTGCTTAAAATCTATCAGTGGCCTCCCACTGCTCTGAGAATGACTTACAAGGCCCCACAGGGCCCAGTTCCTACCCCTCTGACCTCCTCTCACCCTCACTTGACATCCTGCAGCTTCGCAGGCCTTCTTTATGTTCTCAAGTAAGAGCAGCAAACTATGACCTGCCAGTCAAATCCAACCCGCCACCTGTTTTTGTAAATAAAGCTTGACTGGAACACAGACACTCATGCCTTTGTGTCTGCGTGTTATCTGTGGCACTAATGGCAGAGTTAAGGAGAGAGACACACTGACCGTGAGGCTCTTTAGGAAACACAGGCCCACCACTGTTCTAAAATCCCTCCCAGCCTTTTCCCATTGCAGGGCCGCTGCGCTTGCACTACCCACTGCTCTAGTCTTTCTCCTTTCACCACTCCCTAAAATTATGTGCTTGCTTATTGCTTGATTGTCCCGCCCAGCAAAATCTTGTCTGCTTGTTCTGTGCTATGTGCAAGGACCTAGCATGGTGTCTAGCATGTGGTAGGTGTTCAGTAAACATTTTTAAATGAGTAAATGTATTTTAAGTACCCAGGGGTCTGCACCTCTTTTAGTTAAGACTTCTTTTGGGGACAGTCAGCCATTAGAGACCTTAGTCACACACTTGCTCCCTGTCCATGGTGAGCGAAGGAGGGCAGAAGGCATGAGTTGTATGCGCAGGGGTGTATGGTGTACACAGGGGTAGAGCTGAGAGAAAGTGGTTGGCAGGAAGCACACCTGTGTCCCCAGAAGCTTGTATTTGTTACATGCTTGCTGGGCTGAAGAGCCCCTCAGGCAGCTTGCGGCAACACCTTTTGTGTTTGTATAGCATCTCGGACACTGGTGCAGTTCGGTGTTGCACCTTGGCGCCATTCAGCCCAACAAGCGCTTAGCATCTTTGATGTTCAGAGCATTGGGCTAGGCAACAGCAGTAGTAGTTAAGATGACAGACTCTGGGATCAGATGTCCTGGGCTCTGATTCATTTTCATCGTCTACCAGCTATTAATATTTAGTTTTGGCCAAGATGCTTAACTTTTCTCAGCCACAGTTTTTCATCAGTAAAGTGAGGATAATAGCAGAACCAACTCCATAGTCATTCTGAAGATGAAAGGAGGAAATGCAGGTGTGAAGCGCGTATTCGTAAAAGGTCTGCCGCCTGGCATGTGCTCAACATGTTATCTTCCTTATCAGCATGGCTCACACTCTCTGGTTAAACAGAGGCCTGATGTAGTGGGAAGGGGGTTGGTCTCTGGAATCAAACAAGCTGAGTTTAAATTTTGGTTCTAGTATTGTGACTATGCACAAATTATTTTACCTCTCTGAGCCTTAATTTTCTCATCTGCAAAATATGGATAATAATAATATAAGCTAGGATCCTGAGAATCAAATGAATCAATATGTCTAAAACTCCAAGCACACGGCAGCTTCATAACATATCTAAGTGTTAGCTTGTATCATTATAATTCACGAGGCAGAAGGGAATTACTGAAGGTTGTTGAGCCAGGAAGTGCTATAATCCAAACCAAAACGCACTGAAAAACTAGATAGAGAAGCAAAGCTTAGCACATTTGAACAGCATATTAATAGGATGCATGCATACTATGTGGGATGTACTATGAGCATTTTAGGAGTCTGGAAGAGGAGGGTGCGGGTAGAAGGGATTCCATGGTAATATTTACAAAGGAAGTGGGGCTTCAGGTAAGCCTTAACGTGGAAACAGAAGACAGCAGAAAGAAAGGGGGCACTGGTGCTGCCTCCCTCCTCCGTTAGTAAATGACAGTTTGAATTTTAACTCGGAGGCATTTGGGCACAGAAAAGTTATAGCTCCTAACTTCCTGTGAGCTAGTAAAATACAGGTTCCTGCATCCCCTTCCCAGAGATTCTGCTTTAATTGATTTGCCATGGGTCCCAGGAATGTGCGGTTTGAATAAGCATCCTGAGGGTTCTGAAGCACATGGTCTGGCATATGCTTTAGTAAACCCTGGCTTGAAGGCTCAGTGAGTCAGCAGTCCGACCCAAAGGCTGTGTTATCTCCTGCCATCCCCTGTGACCTACCTTTTGGCCTCCAGTTTGGAGGGCCTGTCTTGTCCCCTCTAATTCTTCCCTTAGCCCCCAAATTGCATTGTAAATGTTTTCACCCCAGTACCTGTGCTGTGGTTGAACAGCTGGCCAGGAAAAGGAGAAAGATCTGAAGGAGATGGACTCAGTGCATCTGGTAGAGTAACAACTCAACTTGGAGCTTTGCTGTAAAGCAGGAGGGCCTGGCTTTTGTTTTTGTTTTGTCAGTTTGGTTGCTTTATTCTTTCTAGGTTTTTATTTTGGAGAATGGGTTTGATTTGTTAATTTTATTCTGAACAGTTGATTTTTCCTAAAGCTCAGGTGGGTGGTAAGGGCCGTCTGGTTTTACTAGGTCTTTACTAGGAGGGGGTCTTGCTGAGCAGTCCCGATCCAGGATCTCCTACTGACTAGCCAGTACTGAGCATTTGCTCTGTGCCTGGCTCTGTGCCGAGTGCTTTATCCACACCAGCTCCTTACATATTTGCAAGAACCAACTAAAGGGAAGAGGGGCTTGTCACCAGTATGAAGTGCAGAAACTGAAGTGATCTTGGAAGCTTTGGTTGGGTGGATGGGCAGAGGGCAGGGGTATTTGGGTGTTCTTTAAGAGTGGCATGGAAGACCTTTGGTAATTGGAGAGGCCAGGTTGCTTTTAATTTGTGTCTTCTTCCAAGGCACTTCTCTCCCAGACTCTGTCTTGTGTGGGTTGTCATGAACCCAAAGTATCCTCGCTGTTTATCCCTCAGGCTTAGTGATCTGAAATTGGCCAACTTTGGAGGCCAATGAATAGATGTTTAACCTTGTCTTTTCCTAAGGAGGCACTCAAGGTGTACCCAAAGTTGACTGGCACTGATCTTCTGGAAGATTCTTTTGCTGTCTCCCATTTGCCTCCTTTGGTTTCTGTTCTTGCGTCTTTCCCTACAAACTGAAACTAGAATTCTGTAGCAGTGTCGGAGCGGAAATGCTTTTCTAAAACAAGCTCAGGAAGTCATTTAATTAGCCCAGGAAGGGAATAGGGGAAAATCTATTCTCTCCAAATAATCTTGGAAAATTGGAGCTTTCCTAACACATTAAGAGTAAATGCCCTGCCTCACTGCAGAGTGATCTGTATATCTTCAGTTGACAAGCATGAACATCCCCCACCTCTTAGTCCCATGATTCCTTCTCTCTTCCTTCCTGCTATTGACTACTTTGCAGACTCAGCTGGATTTTAGATAATCTTTATAATATCACAATGGTTTCCATGGAGATGGATCATGATGTCACAAAAGTAGATATACATTTTTGGATACTGAAAAATCAAAGGGCAATAGAGGGAGGAATAGAAGAATTTTTAAGCTGGTATATAGAGGAGGGGGAAATCTAGAGAACAGGAAAGAAAACTAAGAAAGAGTGTGAGTGAAACAGAGAAATGGCTATTCAAAGGCTATTCAAAATCACAACCACCAAAAAAAAAAAAAAAAAAAAAAAAACCCAGAAAATTTGCAAGGAAATTAGAAGCAGGGGGTAAGGATTTGAAGGAAAGTAAGATGATGATGAGAAGCTGGATTGATTGAGACAGGGTCTTGCTCTGTTGCCCAGGCTGGAGTGCAGTGGTGCAATCACGGCTCAGTGCAGCCTCGACCTGCTGAGCCCAAGCAATCCTCCCACTTTGGCACTCCCCCTCCTCCAAGTAGCTGTGACTACAGACATGCTCCATCAAACATGGCTAGTTTTTATATATTTTGTAGAGGTGAAGTTTTGCCATGTTGCCCAGGCTGTTCTCAAACTCCTGGGCTGAAGCAATCCACCTGCCTCAGCCTCCCAAGGTACTGGGATTACAGGCGTGAACCACCAGGCCCAGCCTCTAGATGCTGGATATCTTTAGAGACTAGTTCTTAGTCTTCTGTGGGTACTGCACTGAGTACATAGTTGATACTGGGCAGGCTGGTGGGTGAGTACGTGGGAGGAAGGAAGGAAGGAAAGGATGAAAAGGAAGGAAGAAAGGAAGGATACATACATGTATGGATGGACCAGGTCAATTGTTGCCCTCTAACCTACATAGTAGGAATCTGTCACTTCTTTGTAGTTTAAACCAGGAGCTTCAGAAAATCTATGAAATCCCTAAAATTGTATGCAAAATGTTGAATGTCTGTGACTGTTTCCTTTTTCATTGTGAAGAAAGTTTTCAGGACAGCTTTCATCAAAAGGCTTATATCAAAAGGCTTATACAAAAGGTTCAGAACCTCTAAACTTCTAGAATGATGTAACTTAATAAGTGATTGTACTCATTGCTCAAGCTTCCTTCACACACACACACACCCCACACACACATATCTGCCGCCTGCTCTATCTGTAACACCATCTATTCTCGCTTTCTCTCCCCTTCCTGTACAGTTCACCCATCTCAGGAGCCTGGCTGGTTGGAGGGGACTCTGAACGGAAAGACTGGCCTCATCCCTGAGAATTACGTGGAGTTCCTCTAACCGTGGGCCCCAGCAGAACTGCTGAGCTTTACATGGTATCCATGACAACTGCTGATTCCAGTGTCGTAGGCCATTTCTCTCTGCCACTGAGAAATGCAGCGTGACTGACTCTGTTGCTACCTGTCAACATGAATGTTTCTGTGAGCTCTGGTGTCACTCATCTCCATGATCATCTCAGCCAACACTCGTCAATACTGCAAGAAAAGAAGTCAATCAGCAGAGGAGACCATTTGCTTTTGATAACTAAGAGGAAGACTTGCAAAGCCATTTTCTCATGAGTACCCTAAATAGGGGGCACTCATTTTGTTTCAACAGTCCGAACGCCCAACCTTCAGAAAGAGGAAGTCAGATAGAAGTAGTCCCCGAGAGCACACTGCGTAGCTAAGTCTGCTGGGGCTGGGTGAAGAAATTGGCGCTGAGATCCAGGCTGGATCCATTGCTTTTGTTTACAGTAGGCACTCTCTCTACCCCACCTCTCAGTACTTGAGACTTAAAGTGCTACAGGCAGCTGAGTCTGTTTGCATGCAGGATGAAGAGGGTTAAAGCACTGTTTATATAAGATCCAATCTCTCACCATCTCTAAAGCAGCCGTTGGCCCATCATCAGTGAGATATAGTCCAGTCTTCTCATGCACGGGAACACACACACCCTGCGTTTCTCCCTCCCCGGCTAGGAACCTCTCTGCCACCAAGGGCTGCCATCCATCGCCTAGTAACCACGGCAACCCAACCTACTCTAAAACCAAACCCAAAAAAATAAAATAAAATAACACATCCTCTTTGCATGACACATTTTTTTCTCTCCCCTTTTTGGTATACTTTTATTGAATGGTTTTCTAACAACTTGAAGCACATGATCAAGGAATTAGGGTGGTCTACTTGAGGCAGACGGGATAGTAGCTGAGAACTGTTCCCCTTCTGATGAATTTCAGCAGCATCGGGATATATTTGGAGCACACCTTAGTAATCTCTTGAGATTAAATTACATAGTCTTAATATTTCCGTTCCTCCATGCAACTGATGTTTGTTTTTTAAAGGGTAAGATGCTGCCTCCCAATGGGTGACACCATCTGACTGGTTTCCCCATGTCTTCCTGTTCACCCATCCCTGCTCCCACCCTTGCCTGCCTCTAACCCACCACTGGCCAGCCCCCTTGCCCTGCTCTGGGCTGCTGAACACTGGTGCTGTGGTGGTTTTCAAGGTTAATTCCTAGGCTTACCGTATGGCCTATTTTAAAAGGACATCTATATTCACTGCCACTCCGAAAAAGGGAATTATTTCTCAGTCTTTTGAGGCATGAGACTAATATAGGCCATTGTGATTCAGAAAGAAACCCAAGGTTGGAGGGTGGGATGGGTACCCTCTGAAAAAGGGAATTTGCTGGTGAAAAGAGGCTGGATCTTGTGGAAGACTGCCTTGGATGGGGAAGTTCTGCCTGGACATTTCAAATTCACTTGGCCTTCAAACAACAGAGTCATCCATATCTTCCACATGTGAATGTCATTGCAAGGGTGACTCTAGACAAACTACAAACCGATGGACGGTCAGGCTCCCCAGGAGCCCCTTGGATGGCAGCATTGCTTCAGAGTGTTTCCTGTTTCTGGAATTCCTTGTTAGGGAACTTCAAAGAAGAAAAGAAAAACTTGAATTGTGTGGAATTACTGTATCTTTTACTTTTTTTTTGAAAAGATAAACTTGTAAATAGAATGATTTGAAATACTATATGGCAAAGTTTTATATTTGATATTCTTTAAGCTAGTTGCTCACACGCTTAGTCTTCAGTTGCTGAAGAAGTATGTTTAGGAGGGAGAGAGGGGCGGCAAAGCTGAAGAGAGTCAAGGTCACTGTCCCCGCTTCGGCCTGAAGGAAAGAGAAGACATTCCTATGGCCTTGCTCTCTGCTGTCCCGTTAGTGGGCATGATACATCAGTGGTGTTCAGTCTTTATGTGTTTCTGAGCATCCCTTGGGCTTTGGATTTGGAGATGGGAAGAGCATCTCCAGGCAATGAGTTTTTCAAAGAATGCCTACTTAGTAGTAAGATGAAGCTCAGGATTTAAATAAGTGGGGTCAGGCATTTGATTTTTTGTCTTTCTTCTCAGGTGTATTTCTTGGTACCCCCAAGATATCAGGACAGAAAGAGATGAGTCAATTGCTGTGTTCTTTACTTCTTTTTCTCCACATCTTCTGAGACTTCAGAAATGTGGACAAGCGAGTTTTCAAATTTTGTATGCGTCTGTAAGTTCTTAAAAAACCAGCTTCTTAGAATGTTCAGTTTTCAATGTGCTGCTGCTTTCCTTTTTCTTAAACATTTTAAAACTCTTCCCTTTCACCTCCAATTCCCTATGATCCCAAAGGAAGAGGAAGACTCCAGGAGGGATGTAGATTGTGCCATCATAGCTTTACAGGTGGTTTTAAAGTTAACAGGGGTTTGTCATGGCAATTCACTACTCAATTTATCAGCTCAAGGATTATATGACTCTTTTCCAGGAACTCACCCAAGGGCAAGCTAGACACTACCATCGAATCAGGGAATAAGAATTAAGAATGGACAGGACCAAGATAGAACTCGAGAAAGCCATTGGAGAAAACTCGAGAAGAAAGGGAGTATACTAATAGGTTACATCTGTGGACTTGAGGACAAGAAGACCTTGGGAAATGGGGGCCTCAGGGGATGCGCATTCACCTACTATTGTGTTTCCCAAAGAGAGACCAACATCATGCTTTTAACACATACAATGGGGTTTTTTATTTGTGTTTTTGTTTGTTTGATTTTTGAGACAGAGTCTCGCTCTGTGGCCCAGGCTGGAGTGCAGTGGTGCAATCTTGGCTCACTGCAACCTCCACCTCCCAGGTTCAAGTGATTCTCCTGCCTCAGCCTCCCAAGAAGCTGGGACTACAGGCATGAGCCATCACACCCAGCTAGTTTTTTGTATTTTTAGTAGAGACGGGGTTTTGCCATGTTGGCCAGGCTGATCTCGAAGTCCTGACCTCAAGTGGTCTGCCCGCCTCTGTTCCCCAAAGTGCTGGGATTCCAGGTGTGAGCCACCATGGCCGACCACATTTGATGTTTGAAGTTGTAATCTGTCCCATCATAAACTTACCTGGAGCTCATGTGGAGGAACAGAAGGCCAAGGTCCTTGCTTTGGGAGTGCCTCACAAAGCATCCCTGTGGACACATGGCCCCAGCTTCACTGCTTGGAAGCAAGTCTCTCCCTCCTGAGTTGGCTCTGATTTGAAACCAGGAGAAACAGAGCTGCTGCCAATGGGATCTTTTAGGTAACCCCCTCTCCAGCTTCCATGTGTCTGTGCAGTGCCCATGAGTTGCTGCCAGTGGGATCTCTTAGGTACCCCCGCCCCCCAGCTTCCCTGTGGCTGTGTAGTGTCCATGACAGATGGCTGCCAATGGGATCTTTTAGGTAACCCCTCCCCAGCTTCCCTGTGTCTGTGTGGTGCCCTTGACAGATGGCTGCTGTGTTTCCCTTTGCGCAGCCAGGCTCCCCTCCTTCCTATTAGCTACAAAACTGGATAAACTTCAGAATATGAGCCAACGAGTAGGAAGGAACTTGAAGACTAAAAGATTTTACTCTCTCCCCTATCCATGCCCCCTACCTCTGACTCTGTGTGAACAGGAAACTTTAGGCCAGATGAGGAGAATGAATTGGTTATCAGAGTGGAAGACCATGGCCCAGGATCCCTGAGCTTCCCCAGTAGCCTCCAGTTTGCTTTGTAAGACCCAGGAATCACTTAGCCATAGCCTGAATCTTTTAGGGGTATTA